GGGGGTAGAGAGTTGAGAGGGGAGCTGAAGGCATGGTTGAAGAGAAAGGTCTTGAGACCGGCCTTGAAGGAGGAAAGGGAGGAGGCAAGGCGAAGGCACTGGGGGATGGAGTTCCAGAGCCTAGGGGCTGAGAGGCTGAAGGCCCGGCCACCGATGGTAGAGCGGTTAGGGCGGGGGATGTGGAGCAGACCGGAGCCAGAGGAGGCGAGCGAGGGTGGGAGTGATGTGGTCCCGAAGCCTGGTGCGGGACAGTACACGAGCTGCAGAGTTCTGAATGACCTGCAGCTTGTGGAGGGAGGTGCCGGGAAGGCCGGTGAAGAGAGAGTTCCCATAGTCCAGCCTTTAGGTGATAAAGGTGGCCTAATGGTCCACCGGCACATCTGGCTGGACACATGAAAATCTACCGCTCCGCTCTCGCCTCGGCCTAATTGTCCTTAATACTCCAGGTTAATCCTGGAGCCGAAGGGAAACCCCAGGCTCCTGTTCTCTACCACCAACCAGCTCCTCCGCTCTCCCCGCCACGCCTTGCAGGTTCTTTCCTCCAACTCCCACTGCGAGGAAATGCTGGACTTCCCCGAGTCCAAAATCGAGGGAATCCGCTCACCTGCCACGGCCGTCCCAACTTCCACCCCCTTCCTACCCCCTATCCCCCCACACTCCAAGCACTATCCATCCCTCCTTACACACCTTTGAACCTGTCATCCCTCCTCTGTCATAACCACCATACTCTCTATGAAGCTCACCACCTGCTCCCTGGACACCATCCCCACCCCTCTCCTTAAATCCCAGCTCCACCTACTTGCCCCACTACTCGCTGACATCATCAACCTCTCCCTGTAATCTAGCACTATTCCTAGCCCCCTCAAAACAGCCACCATCATCCCCACCTTGAAGAAACCTTCCCTTGACCCATCACAGCTATCCAGCTACCGGCCCATCTCTCACCACCCTTTTCTATCTAAGGTCCTTGAGAGAGCCGTCGCCTCCCAGCTTCGCTCTTTCCTCTCCTCGCACTCCCTCCATGAGCCCCTCTAATCGGGTTTCCATGCTGCCCACAGCACAGAAACTGCTCTGGACAAGGACACAAACAACATCCTGACTATGTGCGACCAGGGCTCCCACTGCGTCCTCATTCATCTCGACCTCTCCGCTGCCTTTGATACTGTGGGCCACTCAATCCTCCTCCACCGCCTCTCCTCCTACCTCAACCTTCAAGGTTCTGTCCTTAACTGGTTCCGATCCTACCTTTTACACCGCCTCCACTTCGTCTCTGCAAGCGGCTTCTCCTCCAGCCCCTGCACCATCTCATGCGGCTTTCCTCAGGGCTCTGTCCTCGGTCCCCTCCTCTTCACCTTCTACATGCTCCCCCTTGGTGACATCATCCACAGACATGGGGTAAATTTCCACATGTATGCGGATGACACCCAACTATCTCTCTGCCTCAACCCTGAACTCCAGGACTACTGGCGTTCTGACCGACTGCCTGTCCGACATCAAGTCCTGGATGAGTGACAACTTTCTCCAACTCAACATAAGCAAGACCGAGGCCCTCCTGATTGGCTCGCGCCAGCACCTCCGCACCTCAGGCGCTGGCAGCATCAGCCTCCAGGGCTGCACACTCAATCTCACAAAGCCAGTCAGGAACCTGGGTGTCTTGCATGACCCTGAACTGTCCTTTCTCCCCTTCATCCGCGCCATGACCGGCACTGCCTACCACCACCTCTACAACATTGCCAGACTCCGCCACTGCCTCACCTCTCTGCCGAAACCCTCACCCACACATTCGTCACATCAAGGCTCAATTATGGAAATTCCCTCCTCATCGGCCTTCCCAACTCTTCCCTTCACAAGCTGCAGATCATCCAAAACTCTGCAACTCGTGTACTCTCGCGCACCAGACTCCGTGACCCCACGGCTCCCACCCTCGCCCATCCATGGCCTTACCCCCTCCTACCTCTCTGACCTGCTGACTCCCTACCAACCTGCCCACTCCCTCCGTTCAGCGGGCTCTGGCCTGCTCCATGTCTCCTGCCCGACCCGCCCTACCATCGGTGGCCGGATTCAGCCTCTCTGCCTCCACACTCTGGAACTCCATCCGCAGTTCCTTCGTCTCGCTTCCTCCCTTGCTTCCTTCAAGACCCTCCTCTTCGATCGCCCTCCCACCTCTCTGCCTTCCCTCATCCCTACCCCACCCCTCCCCCATGCTCGGGTCCTGACCACTGACTGTCCAGCATCTTGGGACGTTCTCCCAATGTGAAAGGCACTCCATAAATGTAATTTTAGAGGCTTAGTGAGGTTAATCGGGGAGAATACTGAGGTCATACAAATGAGGCAGAGATGAGATGAGAAGGGAAATTAACTGAGATGGGGCATTGAAAGAGGTAGAGGAACCCAGGTCAGAAAACAGCTTACATGTCGACAATATTTTACCACATACCTCACTCTTCCATGTTATATTCTCTTCCATGTTATATAGTTGGGTGGAGGAGCCTCATCTACATGCTCCCTCTCGGCAATGTCATCCGCAGACTTGGGATTAACTTCCACATGTGTGCGAGTGACACCCAGATCTACTTCTCCTCCTCTAGCTGCAACATTGTTGATGTTCTGTCGGCTTGTTTCCTACAGCTGAATGTCAGCAAGACCGAAGCCATACTCTTTGGCTCCCGTCAACATCTTCTCTCCTGCGAGTTTGAACTTCTCAACCTCCTCGGGCTCTCCCTCAAACTCTTCGAACCTGTGTGCAACTTAGGCGTCTAGTTGATCCCCAGCTTTCCTTTCTACTACACATCCGTTCCTTAATCAGGAACACTTTTTCCCACCTCCACCACATTGCCCACCTCCGTCCATACCTCACACCCAAAGTAGCCGAAACCCTTGTCCACTCCTTCGTCACTTCCTGGCTGAATTATTCCAAAGACCTCTTCGCCAGTCTACCCAGCTCCACCATACACAAAACCCAATTAATTAAAAACTCTGCCACCCAGATACTCACCCCACCAAACTCCATATCCCCATCACACCAGTCCTTGTCAGGCTCCACTGGCTCCCAATCACCAACGGACTGACTTCAAGATCCTCTCACTTGTTTTCAAATCACTTAATTGGCTCATACCTTCCTGCTTATCCAACCTGCTTACCCCTCACTCCACCTCCGTTCAGCCTCCCAATTGTCCCCAGTAACCCCGCTCTACCATCAGTGGCCTTGTCTTCAACCACTACACCCCGAAACTCTGGAACTCTCTCTCTCTCAACCCCTCCACCTTGCCCCCTCCCTCCCCACCTTCAAACCCCGCATAAAGACCTTCCTTTTTGATCGTGCTTACAGTCACCTCCACCCCCTCCCCTCTCCCCTTGGCTCTTTGTCAGACTCTGCCACTGTGAAGCACGCCGGGACACTACCCTGCATGAAGGGCGCTATATAAATGCAAGTCGCTGTTGTTGGGTGGGTGGAGGATACGAGTCTTGGGGCAAAACTCCTTTCAGAAACTCTTTTTGAAAGTGCGTTTGGTCAACTTCCTCACCCGCCCCATTCCTTTCTCCCCACTCAGCTCGGTCTTCCACGTAGCCCGCGAGAAGCGCTCGGGGCGTTAACCTGCGGTGATAGGCACTTCGCTGGGGCAAGTTGTTGATGTGGAGACATTAAGACTGTGAAGGAATTTGGATCCCACAGCAAAAAAAAGATGGTCAGTCATCAGCAAAAGTAGGCGGAGTCCGTGTGGGGAAATCCTATCTCCTGATTGGCTGGAGGAGGCCTGACAGCTGGTGATTGGCGGGGATTCCCTCTCTGGGGGCGTCACTTTCTTGGACCGAACTTCAGAGAGAGTTTAGCATTAAAGTTGGGGAGAAGTGGGGGGAGAGAGAGGGGGGAGAGAGAGGGGGGAAAAGGCTCTGAACAACCCACAGGGGACAGAAGGCACAGGGTCCGGGGTGGGGGGGGGTGTGGGTTGTGGGGGAGGAAGAGAATGACTGGGAAGCTGACGCCACTCACAATACGTTGCAGCTCCACTCGAGAGAAAAAAGATTGAAAGGTAACCAGGCAGAGACCAAGGGGGTCAGCAGTGGTGCCTGAGAGAGGAGAGGGCAGGGCAGGGCAGGGCAGGGTAGGGCAGGGTAGGGCAGGGCAGGGCAGGGCAGGGTAGGGCAGGGCAGGGCAGGCAGGGCAAGGCAGGGCAGGGCAGGGTAGGGTAGGGCAGGGCAGGGCAGGGCAGGGTAGAGCAGGGTAGGGTAGGGTAGGGTAGGGCAGAGCAGAGCAGGGCAGGGCAGGGTAGGGCAGAGCAGGGTAGGGTAGGGTAGGGCAGGGTAGAGCAGGGCAGGGCAGGGTAGGGTAGGGTAGGGTAGGGTAGGGCAGGGTAGGGTAGGGTAGGGTAGGGCAGAGCAGGGCAGGGTAGGGTAGGGCAGGGTAGAGTAGGGCAGGGTAGGGTAGGGCAGGGTAGAGCAGGGCAGGGCAGGGTAGGGTAGGGTAGGGCAGGGTAGGGTAGGGTAGGGCAGAGCAGGGCAGGGTAGGGTAGGGCAGGGTAGAGTAGGGCAGGGCAGAGCAGGGTAGGGCAGGGTAGAGCAGGGCAGGGCAGAGCAGGGCAGGGCAGGGTAGGGTAGGGCAGGGTAGGGTAGGGTAGGGCAGAGCAGGGCAGGGTAGGGTAGGGCAGGGTAGAGTAGGGCAGGGCAGAGCAGAGCAGGGTAGGGCAGGGTAGAGCAGGGCAGGGCAGAGCAGGGCAGGGTAGGGTAGGGCAGGGTAGAGCAGGGCAGGGCAGAGCAGGGCAGAGCAGGGTAGGGCAGGGTAGAGCAGGGCAGGGCAGAGCAGGGCAGGGTAGGGTAGGGCAGGGTAGGGAGAGCAGGGCAGGGCAGAGCAGGGCAGGGCAGAGCAGAGCAGGGCAGGGCAGAGCAGGGCAGGGCAGAGCAGGGCAGGGCAGAGCAGGGCAGGGTAGGGTAGGGTAGGGCAGGGCAGGGCAGGGTAGGGCAGGGCAGGGCAGGGCAGGGCAGGGTAGGGTAGGGCAGGGCAGGGTAGGGTAGGGCAGGGCAGCCGCTGGACTGAGACTGAAACGGACCCTGTTAACCTGCGCTGAACAAATCAACGCACTGGAACACCCGACCCTGTGCTGGACAACACAACACAACACAGCGCATCGCAACGCAACGCATCGCGCACCGGATTTATTGGAGACTCGAATCAGACCCTCTCACAGCGTTCGGTCTCAGGCTCCAGACACTCGAGGAAACCCGAGGAGAGTTGGGTGTCGAGGGTCAAACATCCCTGACCTGAGGCTCCATTCAACTAACAAACCTAAAGCCACAAGGAAAGACCTTCCAGATTAAGAGGGTCTCCCCATCTCTCTCTCTCTCTCTCTCTACCTCTCTCTCTCTCACTCTCTCTTTCTCAAGAACTGGACTCCAGATCTCCTGCGCTCCTCCAGGGGTTTTTACTCCCATGAGAAGGCGCACCACCACCGGACTCCGTGAAGGTTTCTCAGCAAACGGGACGCGAGAAGTACAACATGGGATCGTTGAGGAACATCTGGAGAGCTCGGAAGTTGCTGCTGGTCATCCTGATCCCTCTGCTGTTGCTTCCCTTACCTCTGCTCTACCCGGACAACGTAAGTGCAGAAGGCAGAAAGCTTTCTCCTCAGTGGTTAGAAAGCTTTCTCTCAGTAGTTAATTGTGTTTTAATAACCCTGAACCGCTCTTCCACCCAGCAGTTATTGCCCTTCAAAATACTTTACCGAGTTGCCCATCAGGAGACTGGAGTGAAGCAGTGATACAACAATAACAGCTTGGATTTATATAGCACCCTCCACGCCGGACGGCGTCTCAGAGCGCTTCACAGTAATGGATCCCAGGGCCGAGCCCAGGGTGAGGGGGAGGAAGGTGAACCAAAGGTGCGATCGAAAAGAAAGGTGATGGGTGGGAAACTCACCATTGAATAGCATAGGTAGTCCAGGTATTTCATCAGATGCCTCAGAGAAATGAGGGAACCCAGAGTAAACTGATAATAATAATAATAATAATAATAATAATAATCCTTGTATTTGATATAGCATCTTGTCACTTTCTTGAGCCATCTCAAAGCGCTTCACCAATTATATTGTATATATTGTGTGGTTAATCAGGGAGAATAATGAGGTTATACAAATGAGGAGAGTTGAGATGAAACAGGGAAATGAACCGAGATGGGGTATGAAAAGAGGTAGAGGAAGGCAGGTCAGAACACAGCTTACAAGTATAAGAATCTCCCGCATACATCACTCTTCCACGTTCCACAGATCAATGTGAAAGGTGCTATATCATTTTTTATTGTATTTATAATCAGAATCTCATCTTGGTGCCAACTGACCATTACTTCTTGATCATCTTGTTGCCTCTCCTTCTCTTTCACCTTGTCTTGTGCCATGAGTCTTGATCCTTTTCAAGTTGCTCAAATTAAAAGTACAGTGAGTACCTTCTATAATTGGGAAGAAATGGAACTGAATTTTATCTGAGTTGGGATTAAGTATCAGTGAAACCTGATCCTGTCCTCTCCTGACATGAATACATCTGTCATTTTCAAGAAAGGATTACTATATCTTCATCAGGATTTTTTTTTTCGGTCAGCCAGGTATCAGCCATTGCCGTGTTTAAGATTATCCAAACCAAACTGAGAGTTCCATGCATTCCCAACTATTGTAAATTCCAGCTAAAACCACATATCTTTTCATTAAACTGCCTGGCTGGCAAGTTTTCCCACTGCTTGCCCAGCTCGGATCACCCTACCTGTTAGGACAAGGCTTACAAAGTTAACAGGTACTGAATTGGGAAAAAAAATCCCTGCCCCCAGTGACTGTCTACCCAGCCAAGTCTCGCTGATGAACTTTCCAAGTCTTGCTGAGTCATCACCAGCACCCTGGAGTACTGTAGGCCCTCCTGGCTCAGCATCAGGACTACTGAGAACACCCATGATAATCAGGATGGAGATATTCCTTCGTTGTGGGTGGAGATATTCCTTCCTGCCCCAGGAACTTTGTTCAGTTGTCACACACTCATTTCCACCTCATCCAAGATCAGAAAGCTCAGCAAAGGCTAGGTTCTACCTTGTAACTTACTGAAAGACTATACAAATGTAATTTGTTGTTGTTGTTGATCTGCCTCATTTTCTACTGCCGCTAATGGTGCATTTATCCACACATGCAATAGGTATAAGCCTCAACCATGCTTGTGAAATCTTTTGCCTTGCTGAATCCAACTTCTACTCCTGGTGGTTTCAAAAGCAGCCATATCTGCTATCACCACCCACAACCAAACTCCAAAAAATTGATGATATTGAGTTTCCTGGATGAGATGGATCCAATCTCCCCAATGGCCTCCTCCTAATCCTCAAAAGATGGTCTGGTTTTAGTAGAAAAGGGTGCTATTGCAGTTTCTGGTGCATTATTGGATTGATTTTGCAATAATGTAATAATATAACATTTGATATAGATGATGTCAACACATGATCAATATGTCTCAAAGCACTTCACAAGATTTACTGTAAAGTAAATTTACTGTAAATTTATTGTGCACATGTAGGCAAACGAGGCAGCCAAAATGCGCAAGCAATGACCCACAAATATCCCCAAAGTGAATGGCATATTTTACCTGGGGGATTATTGGCCGGGACAGCAGAAGCAACTCCCCTCTCTTTTCAAATAGAGTTCCTGGGATCTTTACAACAGATGGGACCTCAATTTAAGGCAATGGATGCAATGAAATGAATGATGTTGATGTTCAGACATTGCAAAATGGGGCACATTGAGGCACAGAACATCATTTTGAAATGTAAAATAAAAAATAATTAGATTTGAGATACAGTAAAACTGATATAGTCTGTTCAGCATAAATCATATAATCACCTAAGTCGTAATCTACCCAAGTCCCATTCAAGAGTTTATATTCTATGCAAGTTTGGCATAACTCATACTTTGCATAAATAATAATAATAATCCTTGCATTTGATATAGCGCTTTTTGTGGGCGAACGCGGCAACAAATTGCACACAGCAGTGTCCCACAAACGGTCATGGATTGAGTGACCAAATTGTTGTTATTTTTTTGAAGGAATTATTAATCCCGCAAAGAGATCTGCCAACTAACAATCAGGTTCCTATGTACGGTCCCAACTGATATGACTTATTTGGTATGATATATGGTTTACTATATTTCCAGTGGGAGAGTGACAGTGTTCTGGAAAATCTGGTTTCTCTGGTAAATGAATGAGTCCAAGCAGCTTGAACGTGGTCTGTACTATACTTGGTTCCTGATTTTCAGAACACAGTGCTAGGAAACCAAAGATTGAGTAGTTTTATCATTCGGTCTGATGTCAAACACTCACCTTACACTGTTATAATGGGACTTTAAACAAGGAGTATTATCTTTAGGTCTCCTCTTAAATCAAATGGTTACCAATGTAATCATGATTAACTTTGATATCATTAAGTTACAAAGACACAGATGGTACTAAAGAAAGTGCTGATGGAGGAATAAACAGCATCAACAGCAGTGAAACAGACATCTGATCTAATTGTGCAATGTTGATCGGGGTCACTTCTCAGTGTGCTTCATATACTCAGCCTGTCTGAGGATTACATTCAGAAAAACAGAGATAACATGAGATAGGTTTCTTCTGCTGAGAGAATCTACGTCTATTAAAAAAGTAAATGAGTAAAGACCAAGTAAAGGATTTGGCAGTAATCTGAGTCAGGTGTACTCTTGAGTCTCTTATAATGCTTCGTGTTCAAAACCGTATCAATGGGAATTCCTACAATTTGTAGAAAAGATTTACCAGCAGACAACGTCCTGGTGTCCCAGTAATAACCGAGATGACAGTACATGTGAAACTGGACAGGCGAGGTGTGACGTGTGACAAAGAGAGTGGAGTAATAAACAACAAAAACTTACATTTAAATAGCACCCTCCATGCCGGGCAGCACCTCCAAGCTCTTAATAATGGCAGACCCCAAGGCCGAGCCAGGTGAAGGGGGAAGGTGACCGTAGGCGCGATCAAAGAGGAAGGTCTTCAGGCATGACCTGAAGATGGGGAAGGAGGGGGCGAAGTGAAGGGGTTGAGGTAGGGAGTTCCGAAGTTTCGGGGCATAGTGGTTGAAAGCCGCCGATGGTGGATTGAACGATTCGGAGGACACGGAGGAGGCTGGACCCAGTAGAGCGGAGGCAGCAGGTACTGCTGTGGAGAGAGAAGAGATTAGAACGATGGGGGGGTGCCAAGGAATGGAGGGAGTTAAAAACTAGAGTGAGGATCTTGAAGTTGATCCGCTCTGTGAGAGGGAGCCAATGGAGTTTGGCAAGCTCTGGAGTAATCGGGGTACAAAGTTTGGTGCGGGTGAGAGTAAGGCTGGCGGAGTTTTGAATGAACTGAATTTTTTGAGTATTGGAGGAGGGGAGACTGACGAGGACGGCATTAGGGTAGTCCAGCCGAGAGGTGAAAAAGGCGTAGACGAGGGTTTCGGCAGCTTTGAGGGTGAGGTATTGTCGGAGGTGGGCAGTGAAGGTGGAAGGAAGTGGTTCTGGTCCGGGAACAGATGTGGGGGAGGAAGAAGAACTGGGGATCGAATCTGATGCCTAAGTTGCGCATGGGTTCAGAGAGTTTTAAGGACAGGTTGGGTAGGTTGAGGAAGTCGGAACCATGGCGGTACGTGTGAAGATGCTTGAGCCACAGCTGGTGGTGAACCGTGAGGCTGGTTTTCTGCCACCTAGAGCAGCTGGGTTTGGGACTTTAGAGAGCGGAGATGGCTGTTGTACCAGGGGGCGTAAGTGATTCATGAGAATACATTGGACCAGAAAAGACCATTATGAATCGTCTGAGAGAGTACCATTTTTCCAAAATGCCATTTCATTACTCCACTGTTATCATCTACCTATCAATTCCCACTGTTATCACATACCTATCTGAATTCCCTCTTGAAATGCTCGCACTATCTGCTGCCTTGGGCAATCTGTATCACATATTCAAAACCTTCTGTATAAAGCGTTTAAATTTAAGTATCTGCTCATTTACGCCTTTTCTTCTTGAGAATATAAATCTTCAGATTGACTTCTTGATCCTATCAAACATATTATTGGAGTTGAACTTATTATATCCTTTCTGATCCAGAAAACCTCAATCAGATCATCCTTTGATCTTCTCATCTCGTCAAAACATCCATAGTTTCTTCATCCCCCCTCGAAGCTCAGACGCCTAGTTCCATATATCAGTTTGGGTGTGGATTCGCTATAACTTTTCCAATGACAGGAGGACCCTGCTATAATAAAGACACATAATATCCCAACTTCCACAGGGTATCTAACAAGTCCTCTTACCCCCTGTCACAAGACAGCAATATGAGACTATGGAAGAGTTGAAACAAGGTGTCAAATATGCATTCCGCCTCTTCACTCCACCATGTTACGGAAGCTGTCGCACTGAACATGGCAACAGATCATTATCTGCCATGAAAATGATGGTGCTCACACCGATTCTCTGGATGTCTGAGCATCTAAATACAGTTAAACATGTACTGAATACATTTAAGTACTTCTAAATACAATTAACACTGCAGTTAATTTTCCCATATGTTTCAATTGGTGGTCAG